GCAGATCTAGAGAAATTGTCTTAGGGTGGCATGAGGGTGGCAAAGAAATCAAATGGGGTGGCAAAATCAAAGCCTTTTTTTCAAACATATGCAGGTGGTTACATATGGTTAAAATGATTCAAATGCAGTAAGTATACACGTTTTTCATATAAATATAGTCTATAACTTAATTATTGTCTGTAGCCCACATAATTACACACTTTAGTTACATAAAACATGTGAGTTTTGATGTTATGTACTGTATAGCCTGTATAATAAATACATATGTAGCCCAATAAGTATAAAATCCAGAAAGCTACACAACATGGGGCGCTTCATTTACAAACACAAGTCTAACTTAAGTTTCACTGTTTTTTGTTAGAAAACAATCACATTGTTACAGCTTAAATTACACAAAATGTCAGAAATCTGCACTGTCATGAACAAAAATTTAAACCTAATTTTTCATGATTTGTTGGATTAACCCACTGAGGTCTGAAATACAACCGGCATTTTTGACTCCTTTTGAGTTTACGTTTGTATTTCACCCTCAAATTGTTTCATTTTATTTTTTTCCCCCTTGCCTTGTTTGGTATTCTTTTCAGCTCAACTGAATTTAGTTGTTTTTTTCACTGACATACTGCATTAGTATTACTGATCTGAAATCACACAAAGAACTTAAAATCCTAGTAGTATTTTTTTTACTGTAAAAAAACCCACAGACATGTTGAGTAAATTTTTATAACTTGAAATGCAAATATAAATTGTACATTTTGTAAACATATACAACTATTTATCTAAAAATGCAGCCAATACACCTGCTTTTTTTTTTCATTTTGTACAACCATTTAAAAATATTACTAAAACTAAAATGAGAGAACAATCAGGTGTTGCACAATAAGATGCCCCACAAATGATGTGTGCCAGTAAAAAAATGTTTTTCCACCCAAAGACAGAACAGCACAGGGATAAACCTGCAGGCCTGACAACAGGAGGTGTATCACAAAACTTTCTACTCAGTGTTTACATTGCAAATGTGCCTTAGTGACATTCATTAGTGCCCTCAGTGACACACAAAACAAAATAACGACTACACAACACACTAAACATCACAAATCTCCCACATCTAAAAACTCTCTCCCTCCCTCGCTCTGTCTCGCTGCCGTTACCGTCGCTCCAAAAACTTTCCCTCTTCCTAAACAACCAAACCCCACGTGTTGACTTTTTTAAAAAATTGGTGGACATGGTGCATTTTTCCACTGTTTTCGTGCTGTCCTTAGAAAAAACACTATGCAATATATTCAGTTTTAGCATTTATATTCACTGTTGACTGTAACTATGCTCAAACTGTTAATGCTATCTTATTTTATTTTTTTTTTTTTTTTCTAAATGACATCAGAAACAGCAGTATGCGACATTACGTGATGGCAGAGCTTCAGTTCATCCTTTGTCATTTTTTTTTTTTTTTTTTTAAGAAATAGGACAGGGGGAATGAATGAGAGAAAGAGGGGGAGAGAAAGAAAGAAAACCAAAGGGGAGAAGAGACGGTGAGAAGGGGGGAAAAAAAACAAAAAAAACAACAACTCCTGGGTCACCTGTATGGAGAAAAAAACAAAAAAAAAACAAACAAACAACAAAAAAAACAAACAGAGGAGACAGCAAACAACAAAGAGCAACATAATAATAGAGAAAACAAAGCACCATCACAATAAACTAGCTAGTCATAGATATCAATAGTTACTGAATAATAAACGATATTGTGCAGCACGCAAGATAGACAGCGCACAGTGTGCTTTGAGGCAGCAGCCAAGAAAGCTTTAGTCCGCGTCTGTGAATACCCATGTGTACACCTGTGTGCATACTACGCTCAAACTGTTAATGCTATCTTATTTCAATAAACAACACTGTCATATGGAAAACTGGGGTGGCACTTGCCACCCCATGCCACCCTTCTAGATCCGCCCCTGCCTCCGAAGTAAAAAACAAACAAACAAAAAAATAAAGTGTCTGAGGGGGAAGGTAGAGCTTTCCGAAATGTTTCCACAGAAGTGGTGACTGTGAAGATGAACAAACACTGTATTTCACAGAGTCTCTGACAGACAGCACAGAGACGCACTGACACAGTCTGAACAGGTTTGATGATAATCAGAGAAATTTATCATCAAACCAATGTCTGTCTCCTGGATGATCAGATCATCTGTCTGTACCTGAATGTTCACTGACAACACTGACAGTCTGAACAGCAGCAGGAGAAAAACTCTGAGACATTTCAAAGAAATCACAAACAGGTTACAGTCCAACAGCAGGCTGGAATTAATCCTGACTCTGCTGTTGTTTATTTTTATTGAAGATCAAGAAACAACCAACAGCAATAGTAACAAACACAGCAGAAACTGAAAGACCAGCGATCAGTCCAACAGATCCATCCTCCTTCCCTCCATCCTCTGTGTCTCCTCCTGTCTGACCTGCAGGTGAGAAACAGGTGTGAGGTGTCAGCTGTCAGGTAGGTGATGAGTGAAGAACAGAACAGAATCCATTTCCTCTTCAAACTGCTGTCAGACATTATCTACTGCACTCTGATCACATCACTCAGACCAGCTGCTTTCTACAAAGTCTCATCAACAA